TGATGACGATTTGTCGGGCTGGCTGTCAACGATTGTTATGCACTATTTCGTATTTGTTGCTATGCTATGGCTGCAAGTTCTATGTAGCTGCTGTGCGAGCTACATAGTACGTTGCTGTTGTTGACATTGATTACAAGTGATGGCATTTTATGGCGTTCCCATTTGCTGACGTCGTCAAGAGCTCGTAACAGATTCTTGTTTTTTTTTTGCTCTTCTCACTGATTTTACAACGCTTTTTTTTTAGTGATGCAGCTTACTTACTTTTCGTCTGCACCCCACTCCTTTCGTTTGCTTTTCACTTTCGCATTTCGCTTGAGGCTCTTAAATTGAATTTAATGTTACATTTATCATAATTTTGTGACAACTTCGCTTGTGATGGCGACAGTATAATTTGCCCCAAAAAACCCTTCTGCGTGGGCGGGGCAGACTGTGTCGCTTGCTGCGCAGCGGGGTCGGCACGAATGCATTTCTTAACGTTCGGGATTTCCATGTCACGTAGGCGACAGAATTTTCACTTTTTTCTAGAAAGTAGTAATTTTTCCTTTTTTCTTTTCTTTAAAGGAATGTGGCCATGGTATGTTCTATTTTTAGTGTGTTTATTGTTTGGCGCAAATGCGAATTTGATTATGCTTCAAAAAATTTTAATTTTTTTGAGACTTATTTTCCATGCCTATGTGCATTGTGGATTGCAAAGAGCTTTGAATTGTAGCACGTTTTAGACATCATTAATTTGAGATAAATATGAAAATCCCCAAAAACTTTGCTAACAGACTCACTCGATGCGCTGTTAATGGCGACAATGGCAGCAACTGCTGCGCTCGTGGAACTTATGCAAGAGATAATTCCGTTATTCCATTGCAAATATAAACTCTAAGAAAAAACATGTGCCGCCATATACTTTGCCATTGCCAAAAAGTTGTGGACATGAAGCAAAAAACGATGTACTAAAAATTGTATCTTCATTTTTGAACTAAATTTGTCTTCAGTTATTAAAAAAACAGTTCCAAAAAAATGAGGAGCTGGACTGTTATATTCATTGGAAGGCACATGCAGTTCTCGTAAGGCAGCTATGAAAAAACTGTCCAAAAAAATATTTGGCCCTAGGTTGAGCGGGTTGGGATTGATTTCATTTGGCGAATGCGAAACTCAATTCAAATTGTTGTAACAATTTTTTGAAATTTTATTTTCATTGAAATTTGAAGGTCTAATAATTTTGCATTTAATTTAATTCGACTGGTTTTTTTTCTTTTATTTTTGTGCTGGTAGCACTACGCGTGCGGACATACGACACTTACCTAGCGAGAGCTTCTCACCAGAATCGGGGGGCAGTGTGAAGCCTAGCAGTGCCATTGAGGCTATCAGTACGCACGGCACAATTAGGTTAAAAAAA